TATGTATATAAAAGAAAGTCGTGTTAGTTACACTATTTATAACTTAAGAACGCCAGGAGACGGACATAGGATACTATTTATTCATTTTTAATTTTTTTTATATATCCACGCGGACGGAGTCGAGGTTATTAAATCGAAGGCTCAATATGTCAAAGTATTTTTCATTTTCCTTGACATTCGAGATTCCGTTGTATATTATGACCATAATTGTGCTAGCATAGTTTAAGCGTTATATTGTTACATATATGGTACAAATAGCTGGCAAGGTATTTACTGTGAGCGGCAAATTTCACAATATTTAATCACTTCCCTCGTTCCTGCATAAATATTTGTTATTACAATCAGAAATTTCCTGCACAATTTTGCACAATAACCTATATTTTTGAACCTAAGAGTGGACACATTTTTAGGTTATAACCTAATTTAAGAGAGAGAGAGCGTCGGTGGCTCACAGAGCGTTGGTGGCTCAGTGGTCAAACACTTGACTTGCAATCTGCAGGTCCTGGGTTCGAATCCCGCCATGTACCAATGTGTTTTCGATTTCCGATTTACATATGTACATTTATCCGACGTTCTTACGGTGAAGGAAAACATCGTGATGCAACCTGCATATATCTGAAAAGTAATTCAAAGATATGTGTGAAGTCAACCAACCCGCACTTGGTCAGCGTGGTTGACTATGGCCTAATCACCCTTATAACCCTTAATAAGTTAGGGTAGGCTCCGAGCCCCTCGGTGGGGACGTATAGTGAGCTGATGATGATGAACCTAATTTAACGGAAGCAAATATAAAAAATATGTATTTGTAAAAATACTAATAATATTAATACTTATTTATGTATATTAAAATCGTAAAAAGTAAAATAATATTAATTTCAAAGCTTGGAATACATTTTTTTTAATTAAATAATATGATGGTTGGGGTCGCCACTGTCGCACAACAGGTGTCTTTATCCGAAGCTATTTAAGTTTGGACACTTTTATAGCTCTCGGATTTAAGAGATAAGTGTTTATCATTTCCAAAGGTTCATTTAACTTGGCGCAAACTTTTTTTTATTACAATACTCTCTAGCTTCATATAACTTCGTGTTTTTTATACAAAGTGATGCTTATTTAAGATATTTTTAAAAGTAAATCGAGTTTATTATAAACCTTCAAAGAAGAGTATGTAAAAATGTATCTCTATGTATTTATGTCATTATTATGAATTATTTTAAATTGAACATAATTTTATTCAATATTAAAAGATCAGGTTTTTTTTTTAATTCATTTAACTAAAATATATTTTGAAGAGTCCCTTTAGAATAGGTTCCGAAGATACTGGCAGCTTTCCTTCCTTGTTGTAAATGTATTACAGCTTTTTAAGAAACAAAAACTATAAAGTAAATAACCAAACCCGAAAATTAATTACTAAGTATTATCAAGGCTTCAGATACAGGCTTCATGTTACAGCGACATCTATCGGCGCCCGCCCTCCACCGGAAGCGGACGCCATGTTTGATCACCACCGTACATCCGGTTTCGTATTAAAACGTCTGATTTGATATTAATTGACTTGTCTGAGCTGTTCATGACACACAATTAGAATTGTAACAGTTACCGATTCATGTTTTGTTTAACAGACATACGGAGTTTAAAATAATTATTTTCGATAGTGTTAAATATATTTAGGAAGTTAAAAAAGATATTGTTTTACGAGATGTTGCTGTAAAAGAGGTATTTTACGATGTGAAGGCAATATTCTTAGGATAAACGGAGACGTGTGCTCCTTGCTATTCCGCCGACGCCGAGGCGGTAATGAAGCCTCTACCCCCCGCTATAAACATTACTTAGGGTACTTATACACTGTCCATATTAAATTTACGATTAAAAAATAGGTGTTCGCGTAATCACATGTTGCATCTGTGGCTCAACGGTAAAAAAAATCTATATAAAGAAAGAAAAGTTATTCCTATTTCATTATTTTTTATCATTGCAACATATTATTTCGTTAAAAAATATCCACGGTTCAAATAATTTCAATCTAAATATGTATACGTACCTTTACAATTTTAATACTGGCACACCACAGTCGCGTTTAAATTTTATAAACCCATGATTTGTTGGGCGGGAGTTTTATGACTTGCTCTTACTTAGTGTTTTATTGTCTTGGTTTTATATTGTCCTGCTAAATAGATTGTAACTATAACTTTTTTATGTAATTAATAATTTAAATCAAATATATGTTGAAGTTATTACGGTGAAGGAAAACATCGTGATGCAACCTACACATATCTGAGAAGAAATTCAAGTATATGTGTGAAATCAACCAACCCGCACTTGGCCAGCGTGGTTGGCTATGGCCTAATCACCCTTAATTTAGGGTAGGCTCCGAGCCCCTCGGTGGGCACGTATAGTGAGCTGATGATGATGATATGTTGAAGAGTTAAACATATTTTCTGTATAGTATAGTAGATAAAATAATATTGAACAAAGGGAAATGGCCAATTTATATATTATTTTTCGTATGTTAAAAGATTTTTTTTGCGCATATTGTACAAATAATACCTATATGTTGAAGTTTGCTCAAACTAAATGTTGGGCCACAAAGCCAGCTTGTTGGAGATATCATTAATTCCGGCGACGTTGGGCCAGCAAGCCAGCGTGTCTCATTAGTAATTCGCTCGGCGCTGGCGCTGGTGGCTGCGGGAACAATGCAGCAGTCTCTCACACCTGTTCGCACGCCTTCATATAACTCCGGTTGGAAACTTGCGACAGATTTATGACGCGAATAACTTGCAACCACAGAGTAAGATGTAATAGATGTGGCTTAGGTACAAAGAATCTTTTATTTTGGTAGAAATGTTTATGAAACTATTAACGAATATCTTTCCAGGCTAAGTATATGTGATTGTAGAGTAAAATTAATATATTTAAGTCACTTCTCAGTCAAAGTCTGAGTCCTCTGGATACAGAGTAAACATATGTACCTACTCGATGTGTTTCGCTAAGATCAGAGCTTATTTGAGTCGCGCAATCAGACTCTTTACAGTCACATGCAAAGTCGTTAGCTAATTTAATATAACTCAAGGAAATTCGCTAAACACACATCAAGATTGCCGCGTGTTCTTGCAAATGTAATTTAATTTATCTATCTTTACTATTTAATCTTTATTTAATGTTTATATAAGATAAATTGCGTTCATTTACTTTATCGTTGTAAGCCTGTCTACATGCCCAAGGTAAATATTTCTTTAGTGTCGCATATATTCATTAAATAATAATTAGTCAATTTGGTTTTTACCACTTTAATTTATAGTAAAATGTATTTGAAAATTTTAATCATTACGAGTTGATATAAAATGCCAAAAGACAAAATTGTCTCTTCAATTATTTGCAGATCTGTGTCAACGTTGAGGCTAGGTTAGGACCTTTTGGCGCGAGGTGGCGCTCCGCTCGTTCCCAACTAAAACACTGCTTTCTCTTCTATATGCATTGTTTTCATAACCTCTGTGCTTGTTTCTTTAAAATTAAACTGCTGATATATCTACATTCTAATTACTTTCGTATATTACTCGTATAAAATATCACATTTCAAGTTTACATATTAATTCATGATACTTAGCGTAAAGAATAATATAAGAGTATTTATATTTCACAAAACTTTAAAAAAATCTAGTTGAATTTGTTACATTAAATAATATCAAAACCTTAATTGCATTAAACGATATCGAATCGATGTTAAACTTTTATCAAACAGGGTAATATCTTCCAATAATCGTGTTCCATTGGTCGGGTTAACATGGCCAATGTTATCACGATGACGCTTATAATTTCCCCGGGGAGGGCGCTAGTGGGCGCCACTGTTCGATACCGCGCACCTGCAGCTTCTGCGGACGATCTACGTAAACGAATTTTAGCTGATATCCAGATGTTCTTTTGTGATCCTGATGTAGTTTATTTAAAGGAATAAATAACTATTTTATTTTGAGAAAGAAGTGGATAGCTCTATCTTATAGTGAAATTATTTTTTTGACACTGTATTTTTCTTTAGAAATTACAAAATTAGCTTTTAGTGCGTCTCATTTAATCTCTATTTCTCTCTCTCTCTCTCCATCTCGGTTCAGGTTATTGTAATGTTTGTAATACGCGTAGTGCAGTAGCAGAGGTTTTGTGTCGAAGCGTTCATACTTAAAATATAGTTGTCTCTTACATTCTCTTTTAAATAAAATGAGATAAACGTATGTTTTGGTTATGCAAACTGAAAAATAAGGAAAATTGTTCACTTAAGAATCCATGACATTAATTATGAAGTCCATATAAATTGTGTTCAACTATCAAGTTAAATCTTACTCATATTTCAGTGGACAACATTGTTGGGAAAAAATCGCAGCCTTCATTTATTGATGTTGATCTGGTCGTTTGTTATCAGCTTATCCGGACACAGCGGGGCTTATCAATATTGTGATTGTAAACTACAATTGATTAATGCAACACAAGCAAAATATCGTATAGGAGAAATGTTATAAAAATATAGGCAAGATGGAGTGTTTCATTTTCTAACATTTATAGAATTACCAGACTTCAAATACAAACATATAGCACAGTATATACCTTTTATAAACATTAGGTAAATTATCAACACGACAGAATTACTTTTCTTTATTCAACAAATCTATGTATAAAGTTACGTACGAAATAATACTGATAAGTGCAGGTTTTATCGCAAGCCGTGTACCTCAAGGTCGCAGTAAGCCTCCGCCTAGCTAATAGTCGCACAAACAACGTGACTAACATTTCTAATCATGTGCGTATTGCACACAGAACTAATATCATTTGTATTACAAACTCCGACACAAGACCTTTTTTAATATTTTAAAGGGACTATTGGATGTCCTTATCGAAGCTTCTTGCACTTTCTATAAAAAATAATGTTTACAACGTAGAACGCAGCTAACTTCAAGTAGTCTCAAACGAAGACGTTGTTTAGGCTAGGTAGGTAGGAATGGTTGTGTACTCACCTTGAATAGCGCCGGCCCAGCAGAGCCAGAAGAGCGCCCATTTAGCGGTACGAAACCGCTGCAGCCAGGCTGGCCGCACTGCGCCCCAGCCGCACCTCAACTCGCCAGCGCCCCCTCGGCTCTCGGAGTCCGCCTCGCCTTCAGACTACAAAGAGAAATTCATTAGATGTTTCAGAACCTACTAGGAAGACGCGCTGACGTCATTTAAAAATTTGTACCTAACAAAATGTTGAAAAAATCTGATTTTTGAAAGGTTTTAATTATAAAAGTTACATATTTTAATATAGAGCAATCAGATATCTTTGAACTATTGGCAATTAGCCTATCAAGAAATCGCAGCTGGATCTAGCTCGGTCTAGCTAATATTTAGGTCTCAATAGCAATCGATACAGGCCGAATTGTCCGCATATCTTTCAATGGTTGCATTCCAGCATCTTGTTCTATTGCTATGAAACTATACTATACTATACTTTTGATAAAAGATTTTTAACAAAGCAATTGTAACTTTTAGAAACTAAACTAAAAAAAATTATTGCTTGGTTTTAACACATTGCTTTGTATAGTACTTAATATTTTAAAGTTGACCAATTTCTAAGATAACATTCATCTGATTCATAAGTTGCCATCGATAATAACTTTAAATAAAAAAAATGAAATATCCCTCATAACAATACTAGTTATTGAGACATATATGAATTGTAAAAATTGTATTGAACATAATCTCGTGCCTAGTAAAGGTACGCGTCCATCATCCGCGCCGCCCGCATCGACAGACGACATTTATCAACAAGCAATCCGTTGTAAACCGTGTATGCGGTGCGTTTGGTGCCGGCCAATGTACGCGTACCTTTATGAAATCTCGAGCAAGGCAGACTAGCGGCGTGATTCAGTTTTTATTGAACATTTAAATGTCACTAGTAATGGACAAATTGACCACAAATACACAATACATGCACCAACATATATATAAAGGCTTTAGTAAGTTTTCTATTAACAACGCAAAAGAGGATTCGAAACCTTACTTGAATGTCCTTTGTTTTATTGGAATTTATTTTATTGGAAACAAGTAAAATAAACTTTGAGATACAAAGAACAATTTGAAAAAAGAACGCTAATATCAAACCTGACAAGTCACGCCTAACTTGGAAGTTAGAATCAAAATAATTCCTATTATACACTGAAATTTGAAATAGATATAATAGTAATGAGATGGATAAAACGCATTATTTTGAGAACAAATGCATTTTTTTTTCTATATAAAGGACATCAACGCACTTATAACATTTTTCGAAGTGACCGCGTTCAACAAAATAAAACTAACGCACCATCGATTTGTAGAACAGAAGTGGTCAGTGGTATGCAGAAAAGATAAAATACTTTCACCTAATGAACAATCGCAAGCGAATAAATAACAACTGTCTGTAGACGTATAGAAATAATGTGTTTTATAACATAACAACGACCTCAATTCTCAACATAAGCACAGCTGGTTATATTCTACTAAGTAAACGAAATGGTTCGTATAGGTTATTCAACCTACTAATAAATGTACACTAAATTATCTGTATAAAACATATCGTCATCCCTGTCATTGTCTTTGACAAAATAGAGATAGGGATGTTTTTAAACGGAGAATTTGATCTCAGAAACCTTTTTTTTTCAGAGGGGAATGCTTTATGCATACTCCGCGCCCCGGGGGGGGGGGGGCGCGGTAGTTATGTGGGATTCTCTTCCATAGCGGAGGCATACCCACTAAACCCCTCTGTTCCTCCAACGCATCGGGACGAGACCACGGGCACCCTTTCGCTCTCGTCCGCGGCCCTGATCTCAGAAACCTACGTGAACTACATAAAATCCGTCTTATTTACGAACGATAATGGTTCGTCTCATAACGCTGCCGGAACTACTAATTGTGCGATATTGTGATTAGATCAAGATTTAATGCTGTATGAATGCGACAATCAGAATAAGACCTCGTCTACACTAAATGAGAAAGAGATTGTAATTCAACAAAACAAACTATGCAATAATTTTTTCTACTAAAATAACCTATTTAATTGCAGCACAGTGGACCTAGAATTCTTAATAACGTTTTTTGTAATATCAACGAAAAAATTTGTATAAAAAATTGTGCAGCGCTCTTACTGGGCATAACGTACACTAACAAATCACATACAAATGTTGTAACATTTTTTCAATGAAGTGACGAAGGTGCGTCTCTCCGTAGACACTCAGTTAATTATTTCTTTATTTGAAACTAAACTTGAAGAATTAATTAACTACTTATCATGTTTAGTATTTTTCCGCTACTCGCTCTACTATATGAGCTGCCTTATCTCAGACCTCCATGTAAAGATTAACCGGGACACGGTGGGCGTTCCTGATTGAAGAATTAAGGAATACCACGATTGAATCATATTGCAATTGTCTAATCTGTGTCTGGAAACATGTCTTTCTCTACCTCCTCCTCCAGATTCCTTATTTAAGCTCCGCAATTGCTCTCAAGATATATAATAAAATGGTATAAAAGGAAAACAAATAGGCACTATTCGTATCTATTTCTGCGAAGAAAATAACCGAATGTTGTAATTTTTCTTAATATTTTGGTGATCTTAATTTCTAACTTCCCCACATCTATCTAGCTCGGTTTGTTGGACTTCCACGCAATTCCTTTTTTTTATTCTACCAGAAGATAAAGTAAAGTCATAACCTTAACCATTTCAAAAACTCTACAAGTTCCTTAATAATTGAATAGTACATATATTGATAGACATAGAGATATGCTATGAATATCAAACTATAAAACGTAATGAAACAATCCTATCAGCCATTAAGTGTGTCACGTTTGCAGCTGAATGGTCACTGCCACAATGACCGGACAAAAGCCGGACAAAAGGCCGGATAAAAACGACCCGGAGTACTCACAACTGATATCCGGCTCTTTTAATTCATACATTATACGTGAATAAATATACTATTGACTGATTATTCTGGTGTTAGAATAACCTTGACCTAAGCCGTGTGAGCGTTTGAATGCTTTATTTTAATTTGAATGCATCAGTTAAGTGAACTTTTTATAATAAAAGCAACAAATTATGCTAGTTGTTTAGTTTTTAATTTGAGTTTTTACAGTTTCATAAACAAGCTATATTGTATAAAATATTAGTTAGAATGTGACAAAATACTTTAATGATTACAAAATCGCGTTTGACTCGAAACATTTGAAATATTTGTCACTGTTCGAATCGCTGGAATAGCGAAGCGACCGTTGCCCATAGACATACGCAATTGCATAAGCGTTGCCTACCTATAATCAACGGAGGAGAGGATGCACAGAAAGAAAATATTTTCCCTTTCCATGTATCCTCTCATCCGAAAAGTTCACTTCCACTTCCCATCCTTTCCTTATAAGAATTTAGGCTTTCGGGACGCACACTCATCAGACGAAACTCGGAATTGCTCCCACTTCACGCCTGTCTTCTGTGTGATATTTAGTTAAGTTTAATAAAAAGAAATTAATATATTAATTAAAATTTGTTACATTTTTTAACAGAAATGTTTAAAATGATCCATAAAACAACCCAAGTCACTGTTAGACGCCATATTAAAATAAGATTAAGATTAACTACGCCTGAATATACATAACAAAAATTACAAATATCATAAATCATTTTCATACCTCGACAATTACCATAATATAGAGTTCATAAAACAAGGTCATGTAAGCGGTGACCGTTGAACTTGCTGTTTTCAGATATAAAATATTTTCCTAGTTAATTATTTTATCGTTTCCTAAATCATATGAAACTAGAAACATGCGTCAATATTGTTTATATAGCGAATAATTTTATTTAACAAATATTAGTCATAAATATTACGAAAAATTATTATTACTTTCTTCTTTCTCTTTTTAAAAAGTAAACAATAATATGATAAAATAAATAGGGATTTGTGAATAAAAATGTTTAATCCTATTTCATCTAAATCTAGTCATAAAAAAATTTAAATCCCACTCACAACAATTAAATCTAAAAGCTTAAACAAATATATAAATACCATTTTCAGGCATCAGTCGTCCAGCCCCAAGATAATTCTTATTAATCTTAAAACATTAATAAACAATCAACTTATGTTTTAGAAATATGTTATCGTAAATAATATCGACAAAAGTTTGCGGTCCAACGACCACACCGGCATAAATTCAAAGGGTGCGCGCCGCACGACCCCTGGCGGGAAACTGGAGCCTCGCACATCCCGCTACTGTATATAAACAATCAGGAACATAGTACATCCACAATCCTCACAGTAAACTTAAATTGATATTATTGTTTTATACAAACGTGTGGATACTTTTCTGATCTATAAAAAACTTGTCTATAAATAAATCATAAAAATGCATCTTCATCTTTGCTCATCCAAAATTCCAAATGTATACGGCTTCTTTTAAAGTCGATTTGCAGTCGAATGCAGCAAATGTACTTGTACACAAACTGAACTTAGTTTACTATCCAGAGCCAAATTAGATCTCTCTGAATTTTATCATTATTTTTGTTACTTTTATAAGCAAATTAATTAAATAGCTAAAGTTTAATGTGTAATTCTTGAGTATACGTCAAGCAATGCGCACGTGCGTCCAACTTGACGTGACTTTAATTTGATTCGGGGCTTCCGAATTAAATGCGCGCCATATTTATGACTTTTGGAGGGAAATTGTTGGTGGACAACGGACGGCTTGTTTCAATAAAATTGCATTTAAAATTTAAATAGTATTAAATTGTTTTTAAAATTAATAACAATTAAGAAATAACATTTCTTATATTTTTGTACGTAAACGTTACGTTTGCTTAATGATTTTGTTAACTAGAAAAAGATGGCAGCACTGTCATTTGATATGTCGACTGTCTGGCGTTTCGTGATTTTAAACTTACGGTAAATGACTAATATTGTTTGTCATATTCCATGTGAAGATATAAACATCGTGTCATATTTGTCTCGAACTCACCGTATGTCGCCTGTCATCCCGGCGGTTGCTGCGAAGGTCAATCGTGTGAAAGCCATCGTCGACCGCCTCGAATGCCTTGTTGACGCAGCCCCCACTCTCCGCCATCACTGAAAACTGTACAATGTAACACTGTATTTAAAGAAACAAGATACCGCTAACTTAAAGACTAATCGTGAGTTTCTGAGGCCAAAATCTCTGTTTAAAACATATTGATATATCTGTTTTGTCAAAGATGAAAAACAGGTACGACGTTATTTTTATACAGATATTTTGGTTTCAGAAACCAACGGTAAGTGTACTTAAATATTTTTCCTACCAATTCCTATTAAGTTGCAAAAATTATCGATAATTAATCACTAATGCCTTAGCATAGATTTAGTAATATATGGTTAGTAGTTAATCGTTTCTTAGTGTGGTAGTTAACCTATCCACTAAATATAAGTAACGACTGTGGGACTAACTAGCCGTTTAAATGCAAGCTTTCTAGCTACAGAACAAAAACCTAGCCTAGGTGTGTTATCACCGATTTCTCTGTTTATCTACATTTTGTGTGCCACACAATGGCTCATTGTGTGTCTGGGAATTGGGCCACGTATGCATTTTGTGCATCTTTCTATCAACTTTTTAATGTCATTAACATAAAGATGTGTCCACATCTAACGAAAGAACCGTAAACTCGCAGTTGGATGCAAGCAAGATGTAAACACGCCCTAATATTAAACAAATGTCTTTGGGAGACGAGGATTTGGTCTAGTTGGAGTTTTTTAAGATAAATACAAATAGAAATCCTATAATAGTTATGTTTCATAATCAATTCATGAGCGGCTTCGAACTCACGACAAGTAATAGGATGTCTGTAAATTTAAATAGATTATTGGCGCTTAAATTATCTCTTGAACAATAAAAACCCTGTTTTAACTTCAGTAAATGTACTGAGTAATCTTTTATAATATTTTTCGTATGAATATAATATTAATATATGCATAGGGCACGTATGAGATGCATTTATTCATGGAGACAGCGCCGACCCATCATATACACCCTTTGTCCTACACCTTGTTAACTAAAACTATTAAAAATCCAAAATTTTACTTATGAACAAAAATATCTTCTTATTTCATACATGAAATTCTTGTGTCACAATGCTAGTTACCATATTCCTCCGAAACGACTTGACCGATTTTTATGACAATTTATATGCAAATTAAATAGGCCTGTTAATCGGCTAGCATCTATTTTTCAATCCCGCACGGACGGAGCTGCGGGTGACAACTAGCAAAATTTAAAATCGAGATGATCTAGTCAGGTAATCCTCATCGTTCATCTCTCGAAATGATGAATGAAACTGTACAATACAGTTTAAAAGATTTTGCACAAATCAATTAACACACTCCGTAAACGCTATGTTATTGGCACATCGAATTACGTAACGGAATATAACAGATTCCATTCGAATAAAAACAATTAAAACTTTAATTAATTATAAAACAAAAAATATCGATTCCGTCTGCGTGGAACTAAAAAATAATAATAAGTAGCCTATTTGTTCTTCCAGAGTATGTTTCTACATTTATGCCTTCAGCAAGATCCATGGAGCATGGATATACATACCTTCTAATAAACATCCATCCGTCTAAGCATTCGCATTTATAATATTAGTAAGATAATAAAATAAAAGTTTCTTTAAAAAAAATTAAGTAATAATAGACAATGTTTTATTTTTTTATAACTAATTAAACTACGAAAAGTGTAAACATTGAACTGACAATCAATTAATAAATATTTATCGTTATCTGTCTATAATAAGTGGCCGTTATAACAAGAGCGTAGGCGAAGTGTAGAGCGTTGTTATTCCAGGAATATAAGTCCACCTCTTAGTTACAAGAGCGAATGTTTGAAATGTAAATTGTTTAGTTGTCCGTCCTAAAGTTAACATCAATATTTTCTAATATAATAATTCATAATTTAACCCTTAATATTCATGTAAACAATACCCAAACTTTTACACTAGAGGGCGCTGTTATATTATTGTTTCCCACAACAATAATTACAACTTCTTTGCTACAAACAACTGTATTATTAATTAAGCATAAAATTACTTTAAATGTATACAAAGATTAAAAATAAAATTAAATTGCTTAATCAATATAAGAAACATTTTGAACGTAGAGACTACAAGTGTCAATAGTATAATGTCGGACTCAGAGACGTTGGTTAGTGTAGATTTAAGTATGAGTATATATTAAGCTTCTGTGGCAGTAATCATCATCATCATCATCAACCTGCCCTTATCCCTATCGAGGGTCGGCACAGTATGTACTACTCCTCCATACATCTCTATCAGCCGTCATAACCCAGTCTACCCCTAGTCTAGTCTCTAGTTTTCTGGCAGTAATATAAACATCATATTAAATTTTAGTGGAGACGTTTAGCGAAAAAAAAACTAAGTTCAAAACAAAATAAGAAAAAAAGAAAAAGGTGAAAAGTAGATGGCCATTAATATTTACTATCTCTCTAAAAGAAGGTTACATAACAAGTTGCAAATGCCTAAGATATGTTTTTTGCAAAATCATTTTCCTTAAATGCCGAGAGAGTCGGATCAAGGAATAGCGATACGTTTGCCCCCTTTTTCTATAATAAAAATAAAGATGAAATAAAAGCACTTTAGAAAGTTGCACAATTTAAAAGGATTTTAATTTATCAACCATCGAATACAAAATAAAAGATTGGCAAAAAATTATATAACCAAGACGTTTGCCTTCGCAACACGGATAATACAAAGTTTATACCTTTTTGTCTGCAGGTAGTTTTACAACCTGTAGTCAGATACTATTGTAGTGAGTAAAAACCTTCTTTAAATAAAATCATTTAACGCAAACTTGTAATGGTAATGACACTTGATATTGCCAAAAATGACACTTTAAAATGTTAAAAGTAATAAAGAATTACACACATTCATACAGAAACTAATTTAAGGTTAAGTTAAATAGTTATATTGATACGATGAACTCTAGTTTTGTGCATAATAAGTTTCATACGTGACTATCAAAACAATCAATTTAACGTAGAAATATAATTATTGTCACGCACGTTGTGATAATAATATAGTACAGAGATGAAGAAACGCGATAAAGCATGTAAACAATCTTAGGCTAGGTTTTTACACATGTAAAAGTTAGGAAAGCGGTGTGGTTATTTTACAATTTAAAAATTTCACAAACGATCACTTATTACGTAATTAAAGTATGTAATTGTGTTTTACGTTACCGAGGGCTTCTGAGACCTAAAACTCTGTATAACACATATAGCTATCCCTATCATTATCTTTCACAAAACAGAAAAAACATGTTTTAAACGTGGATTTTGGTCTCAGAAGCCCACCCAGAAATGTATCTAGATCATCAAAGAAAATTCGATTTTTAAATTTACTTGTCTTTTTAAATCAGATATAGATATGAAATAAATAGTTTTAGGGAAACTATTAAGTTAACTAATCGTTTTAATAAATGGCAAACCACATTGTTGACAATTACGTTGCTAAGCGTAACAACCAAAGTAACAACCACTTTTTTAAAACGGTTTTTAACTTTTACTATATCAAATTAACAAATTTGTACTGTACAGTTAAAAGCGTTGTGATATAGCGTTAATTCTTAATTCTTGAATAACTGCATTCATGGAAATACGAGTTTTAATGCATTTTTGTGTCGTATTCACGTGTCCTGGTTACCAATGTTACCAACAAAAAAAGTTGCAGATGCTTATCATGAAAAGTTTTTTTTTAAAGTACTTGAGTAATTGGCAATCTTATTGCTACTAACTACCAGTGACTACACTAATCCTTCGGATTTCTAAAATATTATTTACCTTTATAATAACTGTCACTTCTTCATTTCATTATCAATCCAAAATAAAAGAGCACATTAAAAAAAAACAACACAAAAAGTAAACAACAAAAACACTAGTTACGAAACTATGTCGCGACTTTGACGTAACAAGGAATTGAAAAAGTAAAAGTGAACTGGCGCGAGACGTGTTCGTTCGAATTTCGAATTTGAATTTTGAGCGCGAACGTGCGCCGCGTCACCTGTCGCACGGCAGACTGGCGCGCGCGCAAATAGAGACGGACAAACGTAATTAATAGAAACATTCGTATCGATACTTTATCATTGTCACAACCCTAACTTTCTATTGTAAAGTGCGAGCAATACAATGAAAAGATAAAAAAAAAAACAATAGTCATAAGTATATTATCAAGTAATAAGCAGTATTAATGCTTAACACAAGTAAAATATTTCTATAACACCGGGTACAAATAGGATGACACAGTGTTGGCATAGGACAAGATAGACACTTATATCGATAACAATGTCGCAGCCCTAAATTTGTATCATTGTATACAAACATGTAGATATGGAAAACAATCTTAATAATGAACTCAGAACTTACACAAAGGTTATTTGCTTGTGTTCAAAAACGATCAACTAACCTACTCTTATCACGAATTGCTATTAATATGCAGTTCCTTGTTTTATCATTGAGCACCGTTTCTTTTAACCACATTGAGGCCGGGATGCTTTTAAGCTACCTAACTAAATTATCTCTGTCGCTGACTACTCCGTCTTAATTGACTTAAGATGTGGAGGTCTCGGATCTCATCTGGAGACATGAAGTCAATCTATCTATAGAATGATGATATAAATTATTTAATAGCATACTGGAGTTTTTAATTGTGTAAGCGAACTGATATTGAGTCCTCTTATTGAAGGTGATTCTTACCTTTATTAGCTAATTAATCGAATTACAAATTACGCGTACGTCTTGACACATTTCCGAGATTAATTAAGAATCCATTATTGGAATTTAATTAAAATTAACTAATTGAATATATAGGGTAAATTAAATGTTCGCAATTTAAAGTGTACTTGTTAAATTATTTCGTTATATTTATAAAAGTTGTTGTTAAATGACAGGGATGGCAATATGTTTGTTTTCGTATATGTGTTTTGGCAATAGAAAGCGGTTTTCTCTCTCTCACAAACACATTAAGTACATTTCCTCTTACTAGAGAACTTCCATAAGCTCAGCGAACTTTTACCGGTATTGACCCAAACGAATAGTGTTTAAAGTCTACTCTACCTCCTGTGATTCGAAAGTTAAATTATTAAAAATAATAGATTCTCGTGATCAAGTCGATAGTAATATCGATATTGAATATATCGATAACAATCCAACAAACATCCCTACAGGTCGGTCAGGGACCGCGCAACAACCTGTTTGACCGGACGTGTAGGGTGGCAATGCTGGCTGCAATCGGAATAGACTTTCACGCATCACTGGCCGGCCGTGTTTAAAAGTACAGCTAGAAAAAACTAACACGTGCTCTGTTCAACGAAGTATACACAATTAATTTTTTGTCTATATTGAACTTTACTGATATTGAAGATACTGATATTGATTCAATTATAAAAAAATGTTTTTATTATTTTCTATGGTGCAGGAAAACGTATATACACATATGAAAACGTACATATTGTGAATAATACTAATTTCAAACTAGTTTTAATACCCCTTTTAATTTTAAAAATGATTTGAGTATAATTTATTCTTCCTATTTATTTCTTTACTTAAAGTAAATCATTACAGCATCACTTTTAGAAGTTTAATACATATTTCTTATCAATTTTGATAACAACTAACCATAAATCCCAAGCATTATAAACCACAATTATTGCTTTCCCTTTTCTTGCATAAAAAATAATAAAAGTACAAAGTTAGCAAATATTTTTCATGCAGTTATCCTGTAATATTAGCCAATATGGGTTCAGTATCGGATATGGTAGAAATATCTGGCGCGTGAGACTGCGCAGGCTTGAGACGCTAAAGTACAGCCTATGATGCTTTTTTATACATCATTTTGAATGCATACAGCCAGACAAACAACCAGTTTACTATACAGATAAATGAGCATTCGAAATAAAGCTATTGATGAAAATCTTGCTAATATTAAAAATGCGAATGTTTATATGGATGGATGGATGAATGGATGTTTGTTTAAAGGTATCTCCAGAACGGCTCCACGGATCTCGACGAAATTTGGTATAAATATAGATCATAGTCTGGAAGAGCCTATGTGAGGCTACTAATTTTGTTCTTTAACTTCGCGCCGACGAAGTCGCAGGCGACAGCTAGTATCTTTATATTATTATTAGAAATCTCACCAAATGTTTTACCAAGATCATAACGTACTTATTTAAGTTTTTACTTAGTAGTTTTTTTTATTAAATTATACAAAATCAGTTATGTAAAGAGTTTTATTTCAATGAAAGAG